AAAGATCCTGCCTCGAGGCACAGGGACCTCGCCTTCCCGCTCCCGCTGAATCAGGCCCTAATGCTTGTGACAGCCCATCTCCTCCAGCATCCCCCGCCAGGCTCTGGTAACGTGGCATTTACCCAAACACTCTGTCTCCCCTCGTCCCCCCGTGGTGACGTGCTGTTGTGCTACCTTGTGTTGCTGGGCCATGGGAGAGAGGGGGGTCCAGAGCTCCGTTTGGGATGACAGATCTGCTGTGTTTTCAAATCCGCTCAGCATTCTAGTAAGAATGGGACTGGGGGGAAAAAAGCTCCAGGGCAGCCTTTGCCACTTCTTGCCCTGTGCTCCGAAAGTGCTGCTGCGGGCATAATACTTATAGTTCTCTTGCTATACTAGATTCATGTCTTTTGACTTTTTCTTTAGAAAATCCTTTTTTTTTTTTAAACTTAACAAAAAATATCCTTCTGCTGTGTTGTTGGGAACTCCCAAGGTGTTTGTGTTCAGAGGTACATCTACCTCCATTTATGTGAAAACTTTGTCTGTAGTGATGAATGCAGGAGGGTGGATATTGTATGATTTGTACAATAGTGGTGTGGAGGATTGCTGCTGAGATTGGCAGCTCCGTTGTGCTAAGGTACAAATGCATAATGAGAGATGAGCTTCTGATCTAAATAGACAAGACAGATATGAAGTGAGAGAGAAACCAAGGCAGGAGCAGTGAAGTAACTTGCCCCAGGTCACCCAGAATATAAGTGATAGAGCTGAGAATAGAGTCAGGGTCTTCTGAGACCCAGTCTCCCACAGCAGAACTGCTTTAATGCAGGTTTGAACCATGACAGCAGTGTGGTTTTTGATTAAACTGTAAGCTATTGAGGGTTGTGTGTGTATTTGAAACTAAAACCAAGAAGGGATTAAATTTGAAATTCAGAACATCCAAGCAACAGTAAAAACTCCTTTTAGTCCAGTGTTTTCAAATCCTCCAGTACTAGTTAGGGATGAGAGTCAAAGGTGTGGCCAGCCTGGTTAGTGGCTTACTAAGGTAGATAATTCAGCTAGTTCTTATAACTGAGGCAGTTTTATAAAACTTTTGAAAATCTCCTTTGCCTCTCAACAAGGAAGATCTTAAATCCTGGATAATTAAATGTTCCAACTACTCACAAACACCATTCTTCTGAAATGGATGCTTAACTGCTTTGGAAGGACTTTTATTGCTTCAAATAAGACTGCTGCTTGAGCAGCAAGAAGGCTATCAACCTCATTGTCAGTGTCAATTTGGCAAATGGGTTTTAATCCTAATATTTATTTACCATTGTTAGGCACTTGGTTATAATTTAGTATCTGGGCTTACAGTCAAAGGGAACAAGTCTTTGGAATCCTGGCTGTTGGCTTTAACAACAGTTTGATATCTCTGTTGGCTGTGAAGTTTTTATAGTCTTAAACTTGTGATATGGTGGTGAATATAGTGTGCAGCTGTTATGTAATAGATTGAGCACAGGATGTGAAAGAGAAGTTCTGTCCCTGACACTGCATTTTGTACAGCTTTAGATAAGTCACTTAACTGCTGTGCCTCAGAAAAAAAATTATTGTACAATGGAGATAGTACCCACTTTGTAAGGTACTTTAAAACCTTAGCATACTAATAGCTATATAAATGGCCATATAGGCTTTGGATATATTTCATTCTTCTAACATGACCTCTGTATTATGAG